GTACATTGTGAGAATTGCTTAACCTTGGAATAAAAATTCATGAGGTGATAGAGAGACAAGCATTCATCAGAGGTGCCTGCGAAGGACATGCTTTGGGGGCCTTCCTGTTCCTTCCCCTAACTTTTTTTTGCATTTAGCTCAGCAGGCAAGAAAATCATGGGGAAAAAATTTATTTTACTGTAGAGCAGACTTAAGAGACACCCCCAGGCTTTGTATGCAATGCCTGATTCTGACAGTTTCTCCCCACACACTCAGTGGGGGAGTGTGGCAGTCACGGCCCTTTCCCTTCCATGCTCAACATAGTAGACAATACATAAAGCACTCTTCAGAAAATTACCTCTTCCAAGGTCTTAAATGATACCCTGGTGCCCTGTAAGAGTTGATTTCCATCACTGTAAAAATTAATTCACCTCATATAGTAAGCAATCTACTTCTTGAGAGTAATTTTGTTATAGGATCAAAGCCAATACTTGGCAAAAAGGGGAGATGTCTCTTGTGAACTCCACCACAAATGGTTCTTGAAGCAGTAAGTTTTTTTGTTTGTTTGTTTGTTTACTTCAGATACTATTTCAAAAATGACAATCATTATTATAGAATATTTTCGAACAGTTAATAAAAAGGAAACAAAGTCAATTTCTTGTAGGTGGCATATGAAAAGACTTTTGCTCATCTTTTTAATCACCGAGGAAGAATGATATTTGGGAGGTGCAAATCAGAATGGGGGGGGGAGCTGAAGAAGAAGAGATAAATATTCTGTCAGAGTGATTGGTGACCAAAAAAACAAAAAACATGGGCAGCCCCGGTGGCGCAGCGGTTTAGCGCCGCCTGCAGCCCAGGGCGTGTTCCTGGAGACCGTGGATCGAGTCCCACGTCGGGCTCCCTGCATGGAGCCTACTTCTCCCTCTGCCTGTGTCTCTGCCTCTCTCTCCCTCTCTCTCTGTGTGTCTCTCATGAATAAATAAATAAAATCTTAAAAAAAGAGAAACAAACCAAAACATTGGAAAACCAATGAGTCTGTTAGAAAGGTAGAATTTGAATCTTGACCAGAGGGCATTCATCTCCTTTGCCTTATGTAAACTCAGCCACTTCACCTCAACATCAGAGAACTTAGCTGGAAGATATCAGAACTGTCCAACTAGGGGGGCATAAAACCTGGGAAATGTCATAAGCACCTGTGGGAAAGATCGCTTGTAGGTTTTGGAAGGAGATTCAATCAAACATTCATTTCAATTTCTCTAGAAGGCATATTCATTCACTTATTCTTTAATTTGACAGTCTTAGTAGAGCATTTCCTTTGTGCCAGGTCCTGTAGTAGGCTAGGAGGACATAAAGATGTGAGAGATAAGTCAGGGAGCAGGGCTGTGTCATAAAGGCTGTGTCATCTTACATGCCAAGATGGGAAATTTGGATTTTAGTCTAAGTACAATGGAAATCATGAATGTTTTAGGTAAAAAAAAAAAAAAAAAAATATATATATATATATATATATATATATATATATATATATATTATGGTTTGCCTTTTAAAATACAACGGAGAGATGTTGTAGGGAGGCAGAATTGGAAAGAGCTCGTCACAAGTCCATCAGTTTGGCAATAGGAAGATGTGTCCTAGAAATAGGTGATACTAAGATTCAAGTTAAGTTCAATAAAAAGAGAAATTTTTATTGAAATTTTTCCTTTTTTCCCTTTTCCTTGAAAACCTCAACATTTGACTTTTTTCCCTTCTTTTTCCTTCTGTTCTCCCCCCCCTTTTTTTAAATGGTAGAATCAATAAGTGTTTGGCTGAATATAAGAGAAATGTAAGCTTACCATAAAAACTGCTAAAATATACCAGTGTAGGAAAAAGAATGTAAAACTCTTCCTCCCTGTTGTAGTCTCATGCTGGGCAGATAACAATTATTTATAGTTTCGTGTATCCAGGATTTTAGTTTTACGAACACAAAAGAAGAAAAATATAAATTAATAATAGTGATTTGGTAAATGATCATCAGCTTTAATAAGCAAACTTGAAATATAAATAATGATCCACAATACGAAAAGAATTCAGTACTAGATGGATATGGAAAAGGACATATGTAGGTAATCTTACTCAAAGTGTGCCTGTAAGACGACCTGAGTAATTCCTGTTTTTTTTGTGCATCCCAGTGAATCTCCAAGAATGGAGCCCCAAAATCTGCATTATAACTGACTTCCCAAGTGATCCCAGAGCACACTTAATTCAAGAACCACCAGCTCAAAGTATGTAACTTTTGTCTTAAACAGTGAACAATTATACATCTTTAAAATGGATAGAGGTCACTTTAAAAATCTTTAATTTCCTTTTTAATTGTAAGAAAAGTGTTTTTTTCTAATGGTTTATAGCCACCAGAACATGTTTGGAAGAAATAGTCATTGTCTTCCTCCTCTGCTCCATTGCAGAGGGACCTCAATTAGTTAACACTCCTGGCCTCTCTCTCTCTCTCTCCTCACTTACTCTTTCAAGGGAAGAAAGAGGAACTTAGCTGACTGGGAATCAGGAGAGAAGCAGCTGGCTACATTCCCCCCAGTCCTGCCTGGCACTTTCTTTGAGATACCCTGCTGCAGTGTGGTTTTCTTCCAATTCCCTCCATGCCACAGGCTAAGTCAGAAAGTCTATGGGGAAGCCCAATGTCACTGGAGAGCTAGTTCATGTCCTTCACTTTTCCTTTCAGCAGTAACAAAGCAGACATTTAAGTCCACTTTCTATCTGACTTCTGTATCTGTCATTTGGCTCCTAATCAAGTAGGAGGGGCGCTATGTGCTGCTTTCACTGAACTTCAGTGCCATCTCAGTGGGTCATGGAGACTCGTCCTGCTCAGAGCCACTTAATGCCTATGCTATTCAGCTTATTTTAGTGCTATCTTCTTTTAGTGTTAAGTGGAGTCAGTTAAGTTCTACCAATGGACAAAAGTAAAAATACAGGATTTTGTTTTGAAAGACAAAACTGTTAACTCACTCTGTAGTTATAGAAGATCATTTCTTAGATCTCAAAGTCCCTGATTAAAAAGGAAGGGATTCTCAAGGTATTTCAATAAATATTTCTGAATAATTCAGAAGGTGGAAGGAATGTGAAGAAGGAAGTGAGGAGAGAGAGCTCTAGCTCACCTTTTTGCCCTTCGGTCTGTCATAAACACTAGTTTGGCTGAGAAGGATGTGAAAGTAGCATTGAATTTGGGTGATACACCGGTTCAGCCACTACCCAATACTCTAGGTAACCTTCAGCAAGTCACCAAACACCCAAATACTCTTGGACCTCAGTTTTGCCCAAAGGTCTTGGATCACAGGTGCTTTGTTATTTCTTCCACTATTTAACTACTTCCTGCATCTGTGGGCTTGTGCAGGAGTCCTCACTGACAAAAGGCTATCCCCTTATTTTTCTTTGAATATAGGATAATTTTTAAATACTAAACTTTTCTCATATCAAGAGAGACTATAACTTCTCCAAAGACCAACGACAGCAGAGAGTCTGCAAAATGTAGTCAATGAACATGTATTATGAAAAAAAACCTATCGAATGCAAACCTGTTTTCTATAAAATGACAACGTCCTGGGTGTTACAAGCTCTAGATCATGAACCAAGTGGTCTGAACTTTGGTGTGTTTTTTTGTGTTTTTCTTTTGTTTAGAGAGAGAGTGTATGTGCACATGCTCAGGTGCAGGGTGTGGGGTGGGGGGGTAGGCAGAGGGAGAGAGACAGACTTCCAATTCCAAGTAGGCTCCACACTCAGTGCAGAGCCCAGAGATATGACTCCATCTTACAACCCTGACATCATGACCTGAGCTGAAATCAAGAGTCAGACTTCTAACCAACTGAGCCACCTGTGTGCCCCAGGTTTCATTCTTTATATCAATTTATGGCTTAACTTTGAAACAGACACCTAGCATTCCTGGTAGTCAGAATAACAGTTTATACAAGTGAGATACAGTCATCTATGGGAATCAACAAATCGTTCTAACCTATTCCCATGAGTAGGGTAGAATAGAAATAAAATTGAGATAGGGGTTTTTGGGTGAATTACTTTGTCTCTAAGCTGTTTCTCACGTGTAAAATGAAAAAAAAAGTTGGATGTGAATCCCTTTCACATTCCTTGTTTAAAAGTCTAGGACACAAGCATTATCCCCAAACAGAATTAGTCAGTTGTTTTCCTGTATCTCTTTGATGCTAGCATGTGTGGGTGTTGGAGCAGAAGTGGGAGGTTAACTTTGTAAAGCTAACATCCCAGAATTGCTTTCAAAATACAATTAAGTTGCTTGCAGAAACCTTCCAGTTGAAGTCAAAGTACACTTAGAAGATATAAGATACATAAGATAGTATTATGCTTTAGTTAGATAAAATGGCCATGAAATAGTATGGTGCACTTTAATAAGCAGGATTTTGAAAATTCTTAAAGTTCATAATAACTGATGAGAGAAGCTTTCAAAAATGTGTCCTCCCTGCTCCAGTAATGTGTGTTAAATTTCTGCATGAAAATGCTCGTTTCTTTGCCCCCAGGTACCAAAGATATGTCTTGTCAGCTTAAAAGATGGTTGGTGCAGACCTCAGAGTGAGCCCCTGGTGTTTATTTAAATAGAGCTTTTGATTCTCAAGCAATTAGCCACTCATGACTTATGACACTGTAACTGATGTCATCAGAGCAGCTAATTAAGTGTAATTATGCACAAGACACTCCATGATGCAAGGGACTCAAAGCTCAAACATATTTCCTGGTTTCTGGATACCACCAATTTAATAATTTGGCTGAAATTCATCACAGTCTGATCATGAATCTGGCAATGACCCCTTTGAAGAACGCAACCTGCCATTTTTCCAAAAAGTTTAATTTAGTATCCCTAGCCTTTCCTTCGCTTTCTGCAATATTTCCTACACCCTTAATTAAATGAATCAGCTCTGCTACAGCCACTAGTTTAGAGTGATTAACAAAAATAGGCCAGTAGGTTTGTTTTTGAGCTTATTTCTATTTCAGCCTAAAGCACAGGAAGTCTTGGGTAATGAGCAGCTGCTGAGAATTAGACTTGCCTGCCTTGATCAAGACTGTGGTGAGTACGCAAGGTGATGGCATGACATCTTGTTCTGTGTGTTCCAGGACGTGGCTGGGAAATCCAAAAGGAGAATGCAAACGGGAGCACAGGGCTAGGGGAGGAGCTCAGATTTGAGGATGAAGCAGATCTACATTCAGATCCCTACCCTACTGCCTACTAGCTGTGAGACCTCTGACGGGGAGCTGAGCCCTCGGGAGGACGGTGTTCCTTGTCTGTAATTACAGATGATAATTCCTGCTTCAAAGAGTCATCGTGAAGATTTAATGAAAGAAACTGGTAGGATAAATAGTAAGCTCTCTATTAATGCCAGGCCCCTTCTCCCTATAACCCCTACCCACTTGCAGGACTTTCCATTGCTGCTTGCATCCTGTCCTTCCCTCGTTCCTTTCCTTCCTCCCTCTGCTCCTGCCTTCAAATACTTAGGACCAGTAGAGAAGTCAAGTAATTAGTACTTTTACTACAATAAGTACATGGGTGGGTGGTTAGGGGTTAAGGAGAGGGGCAAGTAATTGGAAGGCATATTTAATCCAGTCCCAGAGCAAAGCTTAGGGTGAGCTGGGGGCCAGCAGTCAGTGATGACACATGGATAACAGAGCTGGTATGTGAGGAGAGCATCATGTGCAAAGGCCCACAGGCCAGAGAAAGCCCAGAACTGCCAGTAGTTCTGTCCGGCTAGAGGCAAGGCACAAAAATGTTACAGGAAGTAGGCAGAAACTAGATCTTGAAGTACTCTCTAGACCTCGTTGCAGAATTGAAACTCTTCCCAGAGGGCAACTAGGGGTGACTGCAGGGTTTTGAGTGGAGAAGAGACAGGATACACTTTGCGTTTGAGAAAGATGGTGGGTGACATACAGGGATTACTCAAAAAAATGAGGCCTGACAGGAGGCCTTTGAAGTACTCCAGGGAAAATATGATGGCAGCTGGACCCAGAGTCATTAGAATTTTTTATTATCCCTTCTTTAAATGAAGAACAGCGCTTGGGAACTTCTGTGAAGTGTCTAGCTAGTCAAATGCGCTTGCCACCTTTCTCACCTTGCTGGGTGCTATTTATAAGCCTGTGCAGTTGCCAGTAGCATGGCTATATTTTCTTTTGTGACTCACAGTATTGAAGCTAGAGTTCTGGTCCAGCTGTTGAGTGCTGTGGAGCCAGCTACCTTCCTAGATGGTGACCGATGGCTCATTTCTGTGCCAAGAGAGAGCCTCCCTGCCAGAACCACCCTCACAACAAACAAAGCACGTGTAACAACAGACTCGACTAGACTTCTCAAGAATCTATTCTACTATAGGTATGACTGTGCACTGTGAGTGTGTGAAGGGAAAGAATGTTTCACAAAATATAACCTTCCCACTTAACTGACCTTCCCTAGTGACTCCTGCGAGGACTTGGGAAGACCTATTAGCGTTTAATAAAACATGCCGCATCAATGTAGTTGAAGGGCAAAGTGCTCAAAGAATTCTAATGTCTTAAGAAATGCGCCAACCCTGACACTCTTATGAGAAAGTCAGTCATTTTAGAAGCAATTACTCTAAATTATAATTTTATGAAACTTCAAATTAGAAGGAATTGCTCTTTGGATGTAAAAAAAAATAAAGAATTTTATACTTAATTTAAAAAATAACTTGCAAATAAAAGAATGATTTCTTTGAGTTAATGGGGAAAAGGGGTTGCTTGGCATGTAGAACTGATGTTTAAAAATGTGCTCTTACATCCACATAAGTACAGTAACCGCTGTTATTCCGAGAAGCATAAGTGAATAGCAGGGGGCATCATTTTAACACTGGCAATTTTAAAAATTATTTGGGCTCATGGTATTTCTTTGCCAGAGAGCAATGAAGTGTGAAACCAATCCAGTGAAACTAGATAGATTGGGACACCACTACTTACATATTTTTACCAAGCATTCAACACGCAGGAACCATCTGAACTCTATGGTTCAAGATCATAAATCCTCCTGTGAGGCTCGTTTGTTAATATTTGGGCTCATTTATCATCTCAGAGGACAACCACAAAGGAAAACACAATTGAATACAGTCGATCCATAATACTCACGTGTTTGCATTGAAACTAATTTAAACAAAAAGAAACTTCTCTGTATTTTCTTCCGACTCCACCTCCATGCCCCCATAGGCCTTAAGAATGCAAATATATTTATAAAAGAGTTTCTACTTTTGTTCTCTTTTTCTTGCCTCTGACCATTTTATTAGGCTACCATTTGCCAATTAGCTATCACACATCATTTCCTGTGAGAAGTGCTTTATAAATAGGATCCCACCCAGTTGCAACAATGCTATGAAGTAGGTTGCTGCTGGGACTACTCTAACAGTATGACAGACTGGAAGGCTTAAAACAGAAGTTATTTATCATTTATCTTTTCAATTTGTTTTCATTGGGGCTGTCCAGTGTGAATTGTCTCACAGTTCTGGAGGCTAAGAGTCCCAGATCAGGGCTTGATTCCTTCCAAGGGCTATGAGGATAGGATCTGTTTCAGGCCTTTCTCTTTGGCTTATATTGGCCATCTTCTCCCTGTGTCTTCCCCTTGTCCATGTCGGAGTCTAAATTTCCTCATCTTCTAAGGTCATTCCTATTGATGAGAGTCCATCCTAATGTCTTTTTTTTTAACTTAAGCTCCTCTATAAAGACCCTGTCTCCAAATACAGTCATGTTCTGGGGTACTAGGCTTAGGACTACAACATACGAATTTTGTAGGGGACACAATTCAGCCATAGGTATTCTATTCTTCTATTCTATTCTATTCTATTCTATTCTATTCTATTCTATTCTATTCTATTCCCATTTTACAGCTGAGGAAATTTGGGCTTAGAAAGTCTGAGGCCAGAAAGGGAGTAAATTGTGAGGTGAATATCCTCTGGAGTCTCTGATTCCAGACAGTAAGCTCTTAATCCACCACCCGAAATAGCTCTCCAGCCCTGACCCCACCCTATGTCATATCTTGCCCCCTGGCCCATCCCTGGCCTCACCACTGGTATGAAAGTGCGTCATCTGATGAAGCAATACTGAAAATATTTTTCTGCCAGAATTAAGGAGAAATGTAAACAAAGGCACCTTAAATGCTTCTATTCATTATCTACTTAACATGGGATGATAATAAGCACCTTAGAAGCAGAATGTAAGAGAACTTAACCTTGCCATCTAGGAGCTTTCAATTACTGATGAACACCACCAATGCAAACAAGTTGAAAAGATGAATGATATAAAGCTGAGTAAATGTCTATATTAACTAGATAATGAAAGGATTTCCATTAAACAAGAGCAAAGAGATAAGCAGAGCCAGAAGGAAGCTGAGGGACTTCCATATTTAGATTAGGCTGGTCTGAAGGAAATCTTCATCTCTCTTCCTATTATTCAAGAACAACTGTGGGAAGAGTTTCAGGGACCTCCAAAATACCCAGTTTTTTCTCAATTTATTTTTTTAAAGCCTATTATAGATTTTTGCATATTTTGTTCATGTTCACCTTCAGCAGGATGTTACTGTTACAAATTTTGTAAACATGGTCAAAACAAAATGGCATATTCACAGAAAACTTTAATTACTTCAGTCATAAAAAAGAAGTCAAACATCAACTCTTTAAAAAGTTTGATTCTGAATTAAAATGTCAAAATTAGCTGAAACAACATCTTTCTAAGTGTTTTGGTCATTTAAAAGCAAATCAGAAGACATCTGCAATATCCTTACCAATATATAAACACTGGAAAATGATTGTTAGCATCATAGATATGTGAATAACACCTCTTTAATGAGTAAAACTTGTATTTCTCAAGTGATGCAACATTAGCCACAAGGTTTCTGGCCGAAGCTGGCTTTAAAGTGAAATTTGTACACAATCAAATGTTTCCATATCTATCAGAAGTTGATTTGGACAAAGTGAAAGGCTGATTGAACATATACTTTAACATCAATAAATTGTGTAGACCTCTCTCAGTCCCAACTGTGGGGTCATCCTCAGGAGTCTGGAAAGTCAGAGAAAGCCATCCTTTAGCCTTGTCCCAATGAGTTACTCACATTGAAAATCTTAATTTTAGCCTATGTTTAGGGACAATGAACTTGATGTTGTTCTCCTCCCTTTGTTCCATGAAGATTTGTCTAAAGTGAAGCGTCATTGGTCCAAGTCACACCTATTATCATATAATAAAAATTTCTTATAATGTAAAACTTGTCAAGGAAGTATGGGTGTACAGGCCCACGTGTTTTAATGCATTCAAACCTAGCAAATAGCTTCAAGTTCAGGTGTACTAAGGAATATGATACATAGCTATGGAAAAAATGAAATCCAGAAACAAATATCCAGAAGCAATCTTCCCTGCATTTCTGGGTAAGATTATATGCAGTAAAAAATTCAGTCCACTAAATGGCCTAACAATGGGTTCTTATCTTTGGAAACCATAGTGCTGCCCTCAAACAGTAATATATTTTCACCATTTCTCCCAATCCTACTGAAAAGCACAGTGACACAATTCCAATGCATATGTAAATAATTACTAAGCAGCAGATAATTATGCCCAAATCAATAGCTGGACAGCTGGGTTACTCTATGTCAAAACCCAGGCAATTCAATGAAAGCTCCCCTGAGAAATATTCTCGGTTGTTATGGTGAATTTTGCTGTTACTTTTGCATTTTGATTGATTAATACACAATGCACCTTGGCATATTTTCTATTTGGAATGCAAAATGCTAGTAACACATGAGAAGACTCAGTTGAATTCTCCTACTATTTCTTAATGGATTTTTCTTTAAGCTTTTAGAAACACACCAAAAATTTTAAGTTTATATCTTTAAAAAGACTTCACTTACATAATCTAAAAACAATATGCTAGTCTAAATGAAAGGACTAGTTAAGTGGATAGATGCATCAAGAACTTTCTAGCACATTCTTTAATATTGAAGCAAGGAGTTGATGATAATTCTTTGAGATGTGTAAATGTGGCACTATAAAGTATACCGTTAACTTTAGGATTGTTGCATTAGTTCTCTATGCATTCATGGAGGACGTTGATGAATTCTGTACCGAGACAGTGCATATCACATGTTTGTTAACCTTCAAGGGGAATGAAGAAGAAAAATGAGAAGGTTGTTCCAAATATTAAAGCATATTTCACTGGGCAGCAAAGATAGCTGGTTTCTACTGCAGTTTTCTTCTTCTGGCTTACAAGGTTCACCTCAATTGGCCTAGTGGGGAGAATTCTAACATTTTTTATACACACGTGTTCCAATCTTCCTCTCTTAAATCACCGCTCGCAATCCTCATCTCACTTTCTCAGTGCCAACAGCCATACTTACTGTTGACAAAATGTGGTGTTTTGTGCTGGTAGCCTTGTGGGGGTAACAATTTCATTTAACTTATGTGCTATCTCAACAAGACGGGTGACGTTGATTCAGGGAAGTGACTGGAGTTGTATCAGCTCATCCCCAAGGCGGTACAGGACAGCTTCAACCAACTACCTTTGGCTTCTTGTCCATGGACAATTCCATTGACCTATCACAACATGGACTACCACTTTCTTTAAGTACTCCTGGAAATTTCTATTTCATCTCTCTCTATATATTTTTTTTAAACACACAAGGCCTCCCTCTCTCTCTCTCTCTGTTGGCTGCCATTTGAAATTATAGGCCTTGTGTCTTTTGATACTGTATCATTGTCAAGCTTGAAGGGATCTGGTTAACTTTTTTCCAAGGGCACCATCACCCAGGAAAACAATATATTCTTCCAACCTTCCTCACCCCATAGCCCCATAACTTGTCACAGCCCATATTCTGATTTGCATTGGAAATATAATTTGTAATTGCCTAGAAATTAACTATAGAATTTAAATTTCTCTTCCGGGATTACTAGAGTAGTCCAATCTATTTTGCTTCAGTTTCTATTTGACATGAGTATTTAAATGTAATTTTTTCATTAAAGAGATGATGAATGAAGAACATAATTTAATGGAGTCATGCCTAATAAAATGAGAAGGGTTTGGACGATAATTACTAATCGGGATTTTTTTCCAGAAAATTAAATGTTCAGTTTCTGTGTACCTCTTTTTTTATAGGTGAGAGCCTCTGCTATCTCATGATTCCTCTTGCAAAATATTAAAATGAAGCTGTTGCTGAAGAGTTGAATATAAAGTAGAATTTCCATATATACTCAGGTATGTTCTCAGGTATTGGATTTTCAGAGGGAATTTATATCCTTTTACAATAACACTGCCTACATGATGCTCCCTACCTCAACCTCATCATGATAAGGATGGATATGTTCCCTTGGAACATGCTTACATTCCTGTCTTCGGTGTGGAAACATTTTCTTTTCATCCCTTCTTAGCTACTATAAAAGAACCATCTTTTATTCTTCCATTGTATCTCTGAATTGTGCCACTTAAACCATTTGCTTGGCCATGTTTTCTGGTCTCTGAGAAAAAGGAGATCGTGACTTGGACTTGGTAGCTCAAATCTCTTGCCTTCTCACATCTTCCAAATAAAACAAATAAAAGGAGGTCAGAATAATGAGACAATGTGTAAACTAAGGTTCTCTGTGCTCAGAGGTTTTGCTTGATAATAGTGTACTTGTGTGTGGAAATGTGTCTTCATATCTGTAATAATAGGGCACTGTTTTACCTCTACAGACAATCAAAAGAACTGAAGTGCATTTTCTCAAAACCAAGTCTAAGATTAAATATTCAAAGTACAAGTGAATCAACAAACAAGCTACTGTAACACACTCTGAGTAGAAATCTAAATCTCAGAGGACCAAAGCTCCCCTAAAGTCCTTTCTGAGTTCCCTATCCTCGATTTCTGGCCACTCAGTCCAAAGGATCAGGCTCCCTAGGACCCAGTAATCAAATTGAATTCAAGAAGGGAAAGAGAGAAGTCCATATGTAGATGAAGATTCTCTGGGAAACACACACGTATGCGTGCGTGGGCAAACACACACCTAGAGTATAAAATGCTTCTAACCCTTTAAAGGTCGGAGGTAAGCAAGTCTACTGGTCCATCATCAACGAGGCCACTCAACAAAATAAAATGAAGGGTGCTCAGCACAATCAGCAAGAGAGTTTGTATCCAACTGAACTTGTAATACTCAACATTAAGCTTCCAGCCACAAAATGCTGGATTTTTCCTTAACATTGGTACACACATGTCTAAATTCTCTAGCTTGTCAATTTTTTTTCTTAACCTCAATACCTCTCAGCAATAACCTTCACATACCATAATTTTCATTAGTGTGCCTCATCCCTAATTCTGTAGAAAATCTTTTATCACCAAATGCATCTACTGCATCTCCTCTATAAATTAGTTCAAACATATGTCACTCTTTATCTATTACCCTGATCACGCTTGAATCTCAACAATCTCCCCAAATGCTCCTAGCTGGGAAGCTATAGTTTCAAATTTTTGCATAACTTAATCTTACTAGGCAGTCCTTCCTTTCACCGATTCTTTACTCGAGTTCCGCAAGTCTGACCAAAATTTTAAAAATCAACAGACTTTTCTAGAGATTTCTTACATTTATTTCCATGTGAATTTTTCCTCTATTCATCTTATAGAGAAGCTTCTATTTTCTAACCCTCAAGTTCTATTTTATTCAAAGCCAGTTGAGCTAAGATATATCAGTTGGGGTTCAGTAAGCATTTCCAGTTTTACCTTAATTTGATTATCTAAAAATGACGGTAGCAAGTGATGAAAATCAAAGTAAAATGAACGCTTCTATTTTAATACATAATCCAGTTATTTTATATCTTCTATATAATTATGTGTTTAATATCATGTGTATATACATGCTCATATGTAATTTTGAATCTATTATATATTATGCTTGTATAAGCAATACAAATATGTACAGCACTTATAAAAGTCTAATTATTTTTGTCCTGCCCTTTAATGAAGGTGTTGAGATCAGTGTCTGAGACTCCTTGAATAGTGGTTTAATGTTTATTGTAACAATAAATGTTATTGTTATCCTACCTCTACCTTCCCATGAAGAGGCCCGGGAAACCAGTTTCAGTGAAGCTTACAGGAAGGAACCAGCTCATTGGGTTTAGCTGAACGTGGAAGATTCAGGGGATCTTTTTCACCAGCCAGAAATAATTATAACCAGGCCCATTAACAAGACTCTGCTTCCATCCACCTCCTTCAATCAGATAACCTTTATTTAATGTCCTAGGGCTGTGTTCTGCTGGCACTTGCTCTGGTCTGTTCTTCTTGTGAATTTATTAGCCAGGAATGTAATTTAATCTGTGATTTCAATTTCCCACCAGCAGATCACATTTGCCATTACCTTCCTTAATAATATTGTTTTTAAAAATATGCCAGTTGTTCTTTACTCTGTGAAATCATAGGGTTAAAACTACGGCATTTTTATAAAATAATATGGTACACACTTCTGATGCACACTATCTGTTATTGCCAGAGACCATTACGTTTAGCAGAGTGATCACTTAGGTCTAGACATTTGCTGCTATACAAGTAAATTCCATGTGCTTGAGATGCAGAGGAAAATGTGGAGTCATGATGCCAGCTCACATGGAGTGATCTATCCAACACAGTGGTTTACACCATGGGGACAGCACAAATATACCACAATACCTGAAAAATCTGAATTTGGATTTCTAGACTCCTCTGGCATTTTTACAAGACCCACAAGAAAAGAATTCCAACCATGTACTTACTTTACCATAGAAGAAGTCTGTGATCAAGCTTAATCTCAAGACCTAATTACATGAAGGCTCAGTTCTCTCATGTCTAAAGAGAACAATGATTCTCAACCAGGATAATAATGCAGGATCAGATGGGGCACATGCATAGTTTGAAAAATCACATATATCATTATAATATCATCCCGTCTCTGGAAAAATAATCTTATTGTTTTAATGATACAAACTAAAGAAATTGGAGATTAAAGAAAATCAAACCAAAGGTTTTTGTTTTGTTTTGTTTTTTAATCAAAAGAGACTCTGGATTTAAAATAACCAAAAACAAGTGAATGAAATACTCTTTCAGATCTAAGACCTATGATTTCCCCCTCCAGAGAATAGATTGCTCCGCCATCAGCATTTGGCACTGAACATGGAAGGGCTGGTTATTTCCTGTAATTAGTACTGCATATCAGCAGTAATAACAAATTTCAGTCTTGCTTTGATTAAATATAAAACATTTAATTCAAATATTAGTCAAACACACAGATAACACAAACATCCGTTCAGATCCTTGTATGACTTGGCTTCTCCTGACCTCAAACAGCCCCAGACTACCCCAGGCCTGCTAATCTTGAATCATGTAAATCACATTCTGAAATGTTGTAAAGAACTTACAACTTCTTAGTTAATAACTAGCTAACAATGTGCATCCTGTTTATCTTAAAATCACTCCTGACAGAGGAATGGGCTTCAGACAAGACTCACGTGGATTATCTCCCCAGTGAGTAAAACGTTTCACACTCAAACATTTAATGTTTAAAGATCAGGACTGTTAGTTAAATGAATTAATCTGGTGTGAAAACTATTTGCATTTTTAACATCATCAGAATTTCTTTCACCCCCAACTGTTTAGTACATTGCTTGTATGATTATAATTAGCGAGAGAAGGAGAAAAAAGTCATTTCATTCAATGCTAAATGGCATTCAAGAATTCTCCAAAGAACCACAGAACAGGTGGGTGGGGCAAGGGAGCCAGGAGGGCTCTCTTTAGAGACAAGGCATCCTGTCAGCAAGGAGAAGCCCAGTGTCTTCTTAAGACAATAGTTAATTTTCCCATGTTTATCCAGTATTCAACCCATTCATCCAAATATTCTGGAAATATTTTTTGAGTCAGGCATTTTGCTACATGATGAAGGACATTAAGTCAAAAGAAACGAGTTTCTGATGAATGAGGCTGGAAAGTTAGTTTATCTCTAACTTGGGTAAATGAGATTCTGGGATTTTACCAGGGGTTGCTAGCAATCAGGTTCCCATGCATGTGGTCTCCAGCATCCAAGAACTGGCCTCAGTCTCTGCCTCCCCTACCATGTTTCTCTTAAGCCATGCCTGCCTTCTTTCCTCCTTTCTGTTCCCCAAACATGCAGAGCCCATTTCCGCCACTGAGCTTCTGCACTGGTGGATCCCTCTGCTGAAAACTCCTGCCTGGCACCATCTTTCTTCAGGTCTGAGCCTCCAGATTACCTCCCAGGAGTTCCATACAGCATCCTCTGTAATCTCCATCAGCTCACGATTCTCAATAATCTGGTTGACTTGTGTCCCTGTTCATGGCCTGCCTCTCCCACTAGAATGTAGATGGAGTCAGAGCACGGACCTTCTCAGAAAATATCACATCTGAGTTAAGCTAAAAAGACAAGAAGGAGTTAGGAGAACAAAGGAGAAAGGAGAAGAGTGCTCTTACACATATATTCATTTATGCATAGAGATATGAAAGCACACAGGTGATTTGCTTTGAGATAAGGGACTTATGTTAAATATCTTTCTCTTACCCAATCTGCCGCAGTGGCCTTTTTACTACTCACAAACAATGGCAGGGCTGCTTAATGGAGCTCATGCTGCATGAAATTCCACATGGATTGATTTACGTACATTAAATCTAATCCACTTCACAACCCCATGATACACAAAAATTAAATATACTGCCTAAAGTCCCTCTACTAACACAACAGAGCCAGACTTTAGTACAAGTTAGTTAAACTCCACAGCTCTGAAGTGCCGAACTGAACACCCCTCTTTATTGCATTTGGGCATTATAAGTTTTCAATAATATAGCAAAACGTCATAGAGAGGGAGCTTATATGCTGGGCTCAGCCATGGTGCCAGTGGTAACCACTATGCCGGACTTGGTCTCATCATGCTCCAGGCCAACTGGTGACTACCTCCCTGTCCAGGATGACTACCTCAGGCCCTAAGGGCCTGTTTACTTCAAGATGCCTGAACAAGTGGTGTCATGTCCTGTATTTGCTCTCTTGTGATGAAGAATGTTGGGACAAACTGGCTGAGCCAGCAACAGACATTCAGAATTTCGCCCAAGTTAACTAGTTGAGTTGGGTAAGCATCTAGGAGCAGCAAAAGAGAGCCTGGAGCACAAGTCCACAATGAAGGGTGAAGGGAGGAGCCAAGGATGAAAATATGAAGGAGTAGAAGGAGCAGATACACAAGTGGGCAACTGGGGAGCCCAGAGCAGAGTGAGAGGGTAAGGGTAACAGCTCAGGAAGAGCTAGCTCCCCCAGTGGACAGCACAGACTGCTCACAGCCAGCCCCTCCTGCCTCTCCACAGGTCAGCAGGGAGTCACCCCCATCTGAAACCAGACTGGTTCGTGGGCATGTACATAAGGAAAACCCCTCCTGGTTTCTCTCAACTAATTTGATAATTTCCAGATGATCTGGAAGATGAGGAAGGGATGAATTAAGGGAAACAGAAATAGTCTCTATTCTTCTAATCTTTTTTGGATTACTTCTATAATATAGAAGAGAATTATTATAAGAAGTCTGAATACACACACACACACACACACACACACACATTGTACCACTCTTTTTTTTTAAAGATGTATTTATTTTAGAGGGAGCACAAGTGGGAGAGACAGAGGGAGAGAGAGAATCTAAAGCAGACTCTGCGCTGAGCATGGAGCCTGATGTGAAGCTTGATCCCACAACCGTGAGATCATGACCTGAGCCAAAACCAAGAGTTGGACAGTTTACCAACTGAGCCACCCAGGCGCCTCTGTACCACTTCTCTTAATGTTCCAGTTGTGCTCCCTGCAAACTTCTCCCCTGGCCCTTATTATAGTTTTGAGTGTTTACTGGCTTGAAGTCCTCTGGGTGAGGACCCTGTCTTATTTATCTTTGTAGACAGGTAGCTAGCATAAAACCTGGGACATGGAAGATTCTAAGGAATCACTGGATGAGTAGGTAAATGAAAGAACTCCTATAAGCTTTATTCTTTTAAGACAATGCAAATCGAAAGAAATGAGTTATAGTCTTCATTTCTATTGATAAGAACTTTAAATAGTAATAAAGAGCAATATAATATCATTTACGTATTTACATATTTAAGTCTTGATCCACTTATTACATTTGCTCTGTTTTCTCTAGGTATCAAGAAGCATCTGAATTATCACCCAAAATAAAGAACGATTTGAACATATGTATGCTATTGGCCTAAGAATAATTCAGGCATTTTGATTCTTAGAGGTTTTATGGTGAAAAAACCCTAGAAATTTAAAACTGATCTAATTAAAAATATCTAATATAAAAAAATATTGCCAAGGAAAAATTTCTCTCTCACAATATTTAACCAACCAAAAAATGTCAATTCAAAAAGCCACAGGTTTCTGTTCATTGTCTAGGGAGGACAAATATAACATGGTTCCTTATTCAAATGCCTCAGAGACTCATATTTATTTCATGGGTCAAATTAGCTGTGACTTCCAGTGGAGTAGAAATATAAGAAGGAAAGCATCCGGGGCTGGAAAAGACAAGTCATGTGGCCTTCAAATTCAGACATGACAGAGGGCTGAAGTTGGTCTGTTATGGGCTGTTATTTGCAGATGCGTATGTCTGCCTTTGAAAGTCATTTTCCATATTATCAAAAATAAATCTCTTATCATCAGAATACTTTTTATTGACTATCTATTAGTATAAGATTTCAGAGTTCCCAGGATGTCACTAGAGAAGAAAACATCTTGTCTCACAGCTCTGATATTACAGAACATCACCTGAATTTTCCATCTCCTATTGGGTAACATAATAGATGCCGACTGCATACATCAACCAGGTTATTATTTTTACCACTAAAATCTTATGTTTGATGAAGAATCTTGGCCTTTCACAATCCAGACAGGCCCACAAACCACCACCTGTCACATTCCATAAGCAAAATCGTAAATATAGGGGAAATAAACGCCATTAAGTTTGTGACAGATTATGCCAGTCACGAGGGGCTGCTTCACAAGGAAATCACATGAAAGACTTTGTCTCCATCACCTTTCATGATAAATTTATCTAATAAAACCGAAAGAGGAGAATATTAGAAAAAGGAATTATAGGTTAATTGTTATCACATTACACTTTTAAAATGTTATCCCACCTGGCACCCCTTAACAGATGCCTCCTAAGCAAACTGTCACAAGTGAACAAAGAACTTTAATTTGCAGAGGAACCAACTCCACACTGTATTAATAAAGTCATTTCTTGTTGTCTCTTAATAATGAGCTGTCAGATGGTTTGCTTTGATTAAAACAACAAACTTCCTGCTATGAAAGGACCCTGTTCCATGTGAGACTCACTGCTTCCTCTTAGATGGGATGTTCTGAATCTTCCTCTCTCACTAACCCAGCTTTGATGCACCTTGCATGGAGTTCGATCTTGAAATCTTTAACAATCATTCCCCCCAGTGCATGAATTGTGGCCTTGTCGTGAGCAAAAGTCTTCATCGTGTCCTGTTATAAAGAGTTTATTATTTATCAAGACCAGATTTCTAGCCCCCATTGGAGCATCCTGTTTCTCTCCTCCTGGGGCTGCCCCTCGCAGCCCCAGGGCAGGACAAGGGGCTCCGCACCATATTGCCTTATGAATCTTCCTCAAGTACCCAATTATCCTGCTGCAGCAGCGTGTCAGTGTCCTGACAGCTGGGGGCCTCCAGCAGGCGAGTGGGGTGGAGGTGAAAGACAGGCCCCAGCACCCCCATTCGTTCTTCACCGCATTTCCATTACCATGGGCAGGAGAAGAGGCACACACATGAAAGGAGTTCATTAGGGATGTCACGGAGGTCAAAGACTGCTCGGAAGAAAAGGCCGAGGTGAAAATTAAAAAAAGAAAAGTGCCAGCAGAGTCCAGACAGGTGCTGGGGCTCTTCCTTTGGAAGAGCAAGCCCCCTCTCCCAGCTCTTGGAGCTACTGGCGGAGAGAGGGCACACTCAGGCTGATTTTAATTGAGATCAATTTCACAAGTACCATCTTCTGCAAAGTCCTTCAACTGATTGAAAGCCAAATGAAGCTTTTGTAAGTGGCGACAGGTTTTTCTGTTGTCTCCCCTCTTCCCCCTCTCCCTCCCCAGCATGAGGATTTTCTGAACTTTGGGAGGCTCTATGCTAAGAAAACATCAGTTATTCTGGGCCAACCTCTGCATGTGTATTTAAAGATAATTATTACTTGAGCTGTACTTCTGTGAACCTAAACTGTGACCCCCCCCCCAATTATTTATCAGCAGCAAACATTTATTAGTGAGTCAGAAGCACGAAAGGGCCTGGAATTCTACTTGTTGCCTGGGGAGTGGCCTCTCTAAAACCTCACTGATTCTACCGGAGGGCCCCAGGACCAACACTGTGTCACTGGCTGATCGCATCTTAAAAGGTGTTTACTACAAGTAGTTAAAATTTAGAGGACGGGGCAGCCCCGGTGGCCCAGTGGTTTACTGCCGCCTTCAGCCCGGGGCATGATCCTGGAGACCTGGGATCTAGTCCCACATCGGGCTCTCTGCAGGGAGCCTGCTTCTCCCTCTGCCTGTGTCTCTGCCTCTCTCTGTGTCTCTCATGAATAAATAAATAAAATCTTTAAAAAAAAATTAGAGGACGGATGTGGGACCCACACTTACCCAAATGATTATAAAGATCACTTGTGTCATGATGTGAATGCCATTTATTAACCAGGAACATCTCATAGCTAGGTAGATAATAAGACCTCATTGTTGTTTATCTAACCTTATCTACAACTCCACGCTTGACAGACCCCTTGGTATTAAAAAAATTCCTAAATAAATGTTGACTCCAATAACAGAAAAAGACCCCGAAACAAGAGAAAACTCACAATATAGGATATCCTATGGGTAGTGGTGAACGGTTCCTTGCACTGAGTTCACAATAATAAGACAATTTCTATTGAACTGCATCATAATTGGTTTCAAGCTATAGAACAAGAGTTATTTATTGTAACTGTTGTGTGTGGGGTTGAAATACAACATACTAAGGGAACCCATAGCTACTCTTAATCTAGAGAATTTCATGAACAATAAATGAACAGATACATTAGGTATGGCTCTAAAGTATATAAAGTTCCTTTCTACAAAAGTACACTAAAATCCTCCTGTTTCAGTAAGTTATCATCCCCTTCAAATAGTTATTGCAAGAATCAAGTGACATAATGTGGAAAATCATGAAGTTTCATACTCGGCATGCAGTAGGAGGGGTATGGTATGTGTGTATTTGTGAGAAAATATATATATGTCCTATTTATATTTGAAGACAATAAATTCATTCCAATGAGGCTGCAATTGTTCAAATTGCAATTGTTCTGAATTCCCTCTGAATTATTTTCAGAGCCTTCAGGCACATTCTCTTCAGTAAGATTTATGTAGTACTTAATATCTGCAAAGAACAATCTCAGACAGACTAGAAAAACTTCCTGTGACAATGGCCTTGATTTCTGAGTAGCACTGTCATTCAGGAGTGAGTGCAATAAAAAAGTCTAAAACAAGCAATCCAAAATACATCATTTGAGGTCAAGACAGAGATATACTCTATCAGACGAAGCTATATAGTTGCTTGGGTAACTTCCTGCCTAAAGCCAACTCCAGAAGAGGAGTTGCAAGACTGAGAAATAATAGATTCAGCAGAGGAAACATGTAGCCTCCGGATGACTGCATTAAACCCAACACTTATTTGGCCATGTACACCCTGGAGGTTGTGAAATACAGATTTTTATTACTTTATAATGAAGCCTCATTCTTATAAGTGACAAATCTAGAGTCTCTCAGTAAATCTGAACAGCTGAAACAAATTAATAAATGGTTAGTATATATGTTTATAGGTTGGAGAAGAAGAAAGACTCTAGGAGTTAGTGATTGCATAAAAGCAAGAAATTGGAAAGAGTGGTTGAGTTCTGCTAGGGAAGACTGCACTGTGTCTCTTTTCATAGAAATCTGCAAGCTACAAGGAGTCCTGGAGACTATCTGGAGTTCTTGACCAATTCTCTCACTTTCAGAGAAGAAGCAAAGTTCAGGGAAATTTACTGCTTTGTCTAACCACATAGACTGAAAAAGAAGAATGAAAAATCAGATCAAAGTCTTATTCCACATTTCCACTATACTTTGTTGTTCTAGAAATGGAATTTAAAGAAGCCAAATTTTTTAAGAAAAATTTTATTAAATAGTTACACAAATACATATCCCTTTTAACACTACCTTTGGAAATCTAATAGCAGTGTATGTCTTCGTCAGCAAGAAACCAATAATGTAACACTATAACCCATTGGGAGGGCCATTTCTAGAAAAGATCTCTGGACATCAAGAGATATCTAGACTTTGGCCTTTCTTATTCTACTCTTTACTCACCAGCATGGCTTCAGGAGTAATAGGACTTCCTGTGGACTACTTCCTACATAGGAGAGAATGTACTGAAAAGTCTGCTTATCCACTTATAAATTCTTTGTAATTTTATAAATTTATTATTGTCATTTGGATTGGATAGAAAAACACACTCTTACTCATCAATGATCAAAAATTAGTTTCAAATTGTTTACCCAAAAAGCTCAATAAGACTTTCTATGAAAAAAATATAAACAAATATTCCCTCCCATCACAAAGAACTATTTATAAATGTGATAATTCATTTTCCCTTTTTAATTTCTGTAGCTCAAATTAAGTATAAGTCTGCATTAATTTACAAATAGCTAAATAAAGTTTTTCATTAAAAGAGTCATAAATGTACCAAAAGAAATGTCACAGAGTAGAGTTTTATGCAGATAAGAGTTTACTTGGAGAGTTATGATTTAGATTTAAAAAGATAAGCAATCCTAATTTTTCTTTTTTCTTTTTTTTAAAGATTTATTTATTTATTAATGAGAGACACAGAGAGACACAGGCAGAGACACAGGCAGAGGGAGAAGCAGGTCCCTTGCAAGAGCCTGATGTGGGACTCGATCCCAGATCCCAGGATCACGACCTGAGCTGAAGGCAGCCACCCAACCACTGAGCCACCCAGGCTTCTTAATCCTAATTTTTCTAATAATCAAATTATTTCACTTGTTACATATGAATATACTTATTTATATTTTAATATGTCTCCAATAATATTTTAATTGAAATGTACACCATACACATATTCTTTCTACGGGATGAGAAAATTTTTAAACAGAGCAATGTT